CCCCAAAACCCCAAAACCCCAAAACCCCAAAACCCCTGATTAGAGATGAGTTATTGAATGTTGTAGGTAAACATCGGTTTCTTGAGGGTGTTTTATTTGATGCGATCTGCTTAAACTTGACTTCTAACCACTCAAAAACTAAATTTGCTTGAAAAATCCACCCAAACCCCCCAAAATTCCCCCTTCCTCCTCCCTAACCCCTCAATCCCCCTCCCACCCAACCCCCATTTCCTCCCTCCAAACCCAATTTTTCAACACTACAAAACTGGTCAGCCCAGAAGAGGCTTTTCGGGACAGAAAAGGTATCCCTGAGCTGAAATATAGGAGTAAAAGAGGTGTGAAAGTCGTTTTGGATGTGGCTTAGAGAGCTAGGGGCTAATAGAGCAGATTTAAAGGGGTTCAGGTGGGGTAAGATGTTGGTAATATTATATAGTGCTTATTGTGGAAATTTGGTTATAGAAAATGATTTTGGATAGAAATATCAAATTAAAAGTCTAGCATAGGTCTCTTTATATTTATAAGAGAATTTTAAAGTATGTTTTCATTATAAAAATGCAGACATTAAACTGGGTTATGCGAATTAGCTTATCTCTGTTGAAAAAAGCTATTTATTGGTGAAGAGGATCCTTTGCTTGCTTTTTTGTCATTGGCGCTGCTATATTGAGTTAGGAATCAGTCTTGGTTGAGTTTAGGTTTTGAAAATTTGTACGTAAAAATTAAGATTTTTGGTAATTTTAGTACGAATTTAGAGAAAAAGCGGAAAAATAGGAAATTTAAGGAATGAGTGGAGTTTTTGGGATTTTTGGATTTTAGGGTGGGAAGAGGGGTTGAGGAGGAAGAAGGGAGTACAGGAAATGGAGGAGAAAGGAGGTTTAGGGGAGGTTTTGAGGGAAAGTAGAGGAGATATAGCCTTGAGTGGATTATTAAGCCAGAAATTTTTATAAAGTACAAGGGCGGTGTTTTAAGGGATGGTTAAGAAATATGGAGAATATTATGATGTTCCAATTAGAAAATACCTCTGAATTCTTTTCATGAGCTCGTAATATTTTTCTTTGGAGCTTAGCTTTCTGTAGAGTTAGAGGAAAAGATACCTTATTTCTTGTGTTTTATTTGTTGAAGCTTTTAAAACATCTTTGGGAGGTTTGAGGAATTTTGAAGGATTAGAGTTCTGTAAAGATGAAATGAGAGGACGAGGATGAATAGGAGTAGTATATATAGAAATGATGACAGAGAGGAGCTAGGGATTAGAATTTTATTTATACAGTAATATAAGTTGCCTATTGCATTTTTAATCATCCAAAACCGATTTAAGTTCCATCAACACTCCTTCTGCGCAAACACCCCTAAAAGTACTCCGCTCAACCGCTTCTAAATACCTTATCATGGTCACTTTCTTCAAACCCAGAGTATTCTTCAGAGTAATTTTCCTTGCTATTTTCTTCCCTAAATAATTATCTTAACTGGATCACAGCTGTATCTGAAGAGGATTGCTCCCTTGTCTCTGGCCTAAATAAGTTGTGTTAAGCAATTGTGGGCTTTTAGCGGAGAGTTTATTTATGAAAAATTGATAGGATTTGTGTATACCTCCCCCATGAATACCTTCTCCACACGGATGCTCTTTGACTTCTTCCCAACGAAGAGGGTTGACCGGATGCTTATGAATCATCATGCCCGAGCTGGCCCGTTTATTTCTGAAACAGAGTTAAAGAGCCAGGCTTACTCTTATCCAGTCTTCGATGAATTTAGTGTCTAGAGGGGTGTACATCTGGGATCCTAAAACTTTTCATGAGCGTTTGCAGGGGTTTAACAGTTCAAAAAATTTCGATACTTGCACTTTTAGGAATAGGGAATAGTAGCAGAGACTGAAGAACTTTAGTGATAATAGGGTTAAATGGGATCTGATGTGTTATATTCATAGGTCTAGGATCCAAGAAAGATATAAGGAATAAAATAAGGTGAAAATTCTCTTTAACCAAAAAATCTACCTTCTTTCCAACTTTTCTTAAATTCGCTAATTATCTTCTGATTGTTCCCTGAGAATTTCTTAAATAATTTTGTCAGAAGGTCCTTGTATCTTAGATTAAATGCCTATATTTAGAAATAAGCTCAGAATTTTGTAGGCCGAAAAGCAGGGCACATATTTTAGTATATATAGAAAGCCTCAAGGTATTGATTTATAGGTTCTGAATAGCATCAACAATCTCTAAGAAAATAAAGGGCACTAAAAAGCGACTTTTATATCATCAAAGATTCTTTTGATATTTAATAAACACAGTTACCTTTTTCCTGTGACTCTCAGACTTTCTCTTGATGGTTTCAGTTCTTCCGAATTCACCTCTTGCTTCTTGGGTTTCAAACATTTTGTTTGTGGCCTGATTCTCGAAGGAATTATCCTTTTGATTAGATTGCTCATGAGTATCTCCTAGCAGAAATTCATCAAGATTTTGAAAATCTTCATAGTTCCTTCCCTCTTGAATGTGCACATGGTCTATCCTAATATTGTTGTAAGAAACATCCATTTTGGAATTGATAAGAGGTTGAAAAACCTTTAGCTTTTAGATTGAGGAAATAAGTTCTGGAAAGTATTCAGACATAAGAAGTGGGATGATAGAGCCAGAGGTATTTACCCATTTCCTTTAATCTTCTGCAGAAGTTGTTCAATAACCCCTTCTAAATGCCTTGAGTATCTCTTCCATTCATTATTTTTCAGTGTTTACACTATTGAATGCTGGTGAGAAGCTTAGTGCTCTTATTTTATCTAAATATTGGTAAATTGCGCTGTTTTTTGGAAATTTTATGATTAAAAACCTTAGGAATGAAGCTATTACGAAGGTATAAGATGCACATTCGCTATATCACTAAAGGGATTAATAAATAGAACTTAAAACCTGACTAGATCTCCAAGATGCATTAAATTTTTCTGCTCTAGTAGGCTAAATCTTACTCTGATTAAGCCTTGGTCATGGACTCTCTCACTTCCTATCCATCTCAAGGTTCGTTACTCGCATTCTTAATTTGTTCAAATCTTCATATAATTTCTGGATTTCATTCTTATTTTCCCAAACGAGTTGTTCTAATCCTAGAGAAAGTTTAAGACTGACAAAATTAATCTTGAATGAGCAAATAAAGAAAAATTACACTAGATCAGGACATATAAGTAAGAGTGCAAGCCTAATTAAGCTATGCATGTGAGCAAATCATGCATAATGCAAAGAAGCCTTTAAGACCTCTTTTAAGTATTTTACATGTTTATTTAAACGATCTAATCCCACAAAACCCCAATGGAAATTTTCGTACAACTCTAATTCAAACACTAAGAAACTATCTGTAGCCCTCCTGAAGATTGATCTGAGGTTTTAGCGACGAATTATTGTTATCCATATAAAGTCTCGATTTAATATAGATAAGGAGGGATGTTTATCTCTGTACACTAGCCAGCCTAATGATTAGTCCTCTTGAATTTACACTATCAGAAGATACTGTCCATATAACTCTAGAATACTTCAGATAAATGCTACAAAATTCAATCCTTTTACTCATCAATTTGTAAGCCTACCTGAAGAATTTGGTGCATCAAGATAGCTAGGATTAATAGAAGAAGTAAGCTTCTTTGTAAAAAGAGGCTGTTGATCTACTTTCTTCAGTTCTTCCCCATTGAAATTCTATAAGCAATAGATTAAGCATTAATCTTAAATGAATTTCCGTACTATAGGACGTCTGCTCTGGAACTGTGAAGCTATATGACTTCCTAATTCTATGTTTCTAGCTATAATTTTGTAAGATTGAGAAGCAAAATAGGTCAAATGATCATCTCTGAAGTAGTACCTGTAGAGCTATCAAGATTTCTAGGGAATAGAGATTCCTAAAATTTAGAAGTTAAAGTACTCTGCCAGGCCTTTCATTAGACATATGAGCGCTATACAGAAGGTAAGGGGTATATGTACTGTATCTGATTTGATAAATGCCTTTGGTTGAGAGGATTTTGAAGGTCTATATTTAGGTCAGTTAGGAGTCGATACTTATATTGCGATCAGAGTTTCTCTGATTCCAGCTTATATTCTGCATGTTTATGATATCTAAGATGGAATAATTCTGACTTTCTAGCAATTTTGTTTGATTCCTAAAGTAAAAGATGAAATATATCAAAAGCTGCTATTATATAATACAACTTTTCAAACAAAGTTCTAAAATAGTGCCAAAGTGTTGTGTCTTAGCAAGCATATTTAACAAAGCATACCCTGTGCCTCTAACATTGCCTTTACCATGTCTTCTTGAATGTATTTTACTATCAGATTTATTGTGATTTATTCTTGGATTCTGAAGATTCTCTATATGTTGAAAATAGTTCAATTTTCATCCATGCTTAAATTTCAAGGATTTATTAAACAAATTGACAGATGAATTACCTTTTAAGTCTCTTTCCTTGCTCTTATTCATTATCTTGAAAGTCTAAAAGTAAAAATAGGGCTACCTTGCTATTTTTCTGGTTTACTTTCCGTCTGGTTGTCTGCCCTCTGTAATCAATATTACTCTCTCCAGGCATTTGATGTTCATTTCTAAACCAAATTTTTTAGCTAAAAATTAGAATGAAATCCAACAATTTTTCCAATATTGAGGGTTAAATTTTAAATACCCAGATAATTATAAAATTATCAATAAGTTATTGAAAGAGACTCAAAATCTATCATTCACCTAGATCTTTCGTACTCCATATTTTTTTTGTAAATATTTATACAATTCAGTTTAACTTTGACTAAAAGGGGTTTTGGGGTTTTGGGGTTTTGGGG